TAACAGTTATAATGTAGTATAGTATTCTCATGTTTCGCTACAATATTGAAGCTCCCCCTCAACTCGGAGTGACGAAGAACGACCCTCAACTGAGTTCAGGACCTCCGGCAGCCCAGTGCGGAAAGTCACGCCGGCCAGGAGAGCTCGATGAAGGTTCGAGTTGTTAGGTGTCAAAGGGTTTTTGATTAAGCTCCTTGTAGCCCCTGCCTGAGCCCTGAAGATTCAGTGCTCAAGCCCTAAGTTCGATTCATCCACGAACATATCGATAAATGCTTCAAGCCTAAGAAAAACCAGAGGCGGCAATCTGGCCAACAGAAACCTGGCAGCGCTGCAGCCCGAAACTGTGGACTCCAGGACAAAGGCCATGAGCCGCGGGTCCAGCTTCCCTTCCCAAGGCCCGGACGTCCGACAAGTTCGTCACGGCTTTGGTAAAATCTTACACGGTTTTTTGGGTTTCGGGTTTATAGGTTTATCGGTTTTGTAGGGTCAATGACAGATGGACAGCGATGAGTCATGAACCCAGGAGAGCACAGACGAAAGGCGAAAAGCCTTTTGCTTGTCGTCTCATGATCTAATGCTTTCGAGTCTCAGCCCTTGCTGACAGGCCCCTCTCTTCGTGACGTACATGTGGGCAGAGTTGACAGAGAGACGGGGGCTTTGAACCTTCTAAGAACTCTGCATTCCCGTGCCGTAGGGAAACAGGACTCCTTCGCATCTTCATTATGTTCTATATAAATGTGCTTTACATAGGGTTTTATGGCGTTTTTTTCGGCTGCGTTCAGGACTGCATAAGCGAGCCTAGGGTTTGGGTGTTTTACGGTTTAGAGTTTGAGGTGTCTTCTGCAAGCTGTCGAGGCCGAACTCTGACCACAGACTGTTCCAAGTTTGCAGTCATGCAGAGAGCTTTTTGTTGAGGTAAATCGAGAGTTTCCTGTGCAGTTCTCAAAGAATGCAAGCTGTCCAGAAATGCATTGAGCTAGGTCCATAGTAGCTTTAAGCCAACTTGAGGGAAGATGCGTTTCTTCAGGCTGCGATGCTGGGTGCTCATCCATGGGCTAAACTTGAGTTGGACCAGGTAAAGCGCCAGCCGCGGTCCTGTCCCAGTCCGAACGATCTACGACTCCAAGCAGCCTGGCTGAGCGTCATGCTTTCCATGGGGATGGTGTAAGATGGACCCCAGCGTGCTCGGATCTTGCAGCACTTGTCAGAATTCCTAAACTCCTAAACCCTAGAGGCTACTGCACTTTAAAAGAAACCCTAAACCCCTAAACCCCTAAACTCTAAACCCCAAACCTTCTGAACAGCTACATCTACAATTCCCTCGCAAGATGAAGAAACCGAAAACAGCTCCAACCCGGCAGCCTTTGTACCGTTACACCTTTGCAAGTTACATGAATCCTAACCCGACATGCCATCAGGGTGTCGGGGCCATTTTGGTCAACAGGCTTCTCGATTCCACTTTCCTGGATTGGAGCATCGGGGGCCCCTGCTGGCGACCCTAAACCGTTTTCACTCCGAATCTTAATCTCGTAGTGGGTGA